GTTGTATAACATCATACTTTAGTGTTTATATATAGGCTGCACTGCACACAAATTACAATTTTTTTATGGTCTTTTACAAAAGCTCTCCAATGAAGAGTTGACAAGATGGTCAAGACATCGAATTCTTGTTGTAATAATCTCATATTCATGTAGGGAAGAGATTTTCTTTTGGAGCCTAGAAAAATATGTGTGCAGAAATTTCTTGAATACTGAGGAGAAACACCCAACATAGTTTGGATTTCTTTTTGCACAAAATCTGTGGGCTTTGTAGTAATATTGGTATCATTATCAGTAAAACCCTCATGTTTCTCAGGTTTTCAATAAGTGCTCTCCACTTCCTCTGTTTGTGTAGGATTGTCTTCTCGTCTTTGATCCTGGGGGAAAAATTAACCACTTTTACATCATATCATGTTTCTTAAAATCATAGTATAGAAAAATTTAATAACACATTTGCTCTATTTCTGTCTCATTCCTGCCTCAATTTACTTTATTAATTTCTAGTGGATCACTTGTAACTTTTGGTATACTTAACAATATTTACAATCAAAATATTCATAGTTGTCTTAAACATAAACAGATGCCAGTACTTCAAAATTCACCCTGACCTTTCACGATTATTTCTCAATAATGACCCATTCCTTCCCTTCCAAATAAATGTCATTTTGTCTTTTAGGTAATCAATTCTTTCTTTTCATTGTAGTTTTACCAGCTAAATTTGCATCCCTAAACAGTACAATTCAATTTGAGTTTTGCTTGGTTTCAAACTTTATATGCTGGTGTATTTAATTTTAATCATTATGTAGAATTTTAATAGAGTTACTTACCCTGATTTATTCACCACTCACATTTATGTTGTTTCCCCTTTGGAACTGATATAAATACAGTTATACATTCTTGGAAATGTATCTGATACATTTGCGCAAACCTTGGGTACATACTAAGGATTTAAATTACTGGTCATAGGGTTCTGTACATCTTAGCTTTTAGGAAGTAATACCCAAAAGATTTTCAAAGTTGTTGTAGTATTTTATATTATAACTAGGAATATGAGAGATGTTTCTTTTACCTGTAGACTTTGTCATCACTTGGAGTTGCCAATAGTTTGAAATTTAGCAATTCCATTAGGCTCTTATTAAAATATTTCATTTAGCTTTAATTAATTTTGATGTTATTTTAAAATGATAGGATTTGTGTGACATTTTAGCATTTTCCTCTATTCTCCTATTTTGTTTCCCTCCTTTACCTGTGTTTTTATATTAAATACTTTATGTATGTTACTTAGGTTCTTTAATTTTAAACCACAATTTTGAGATTTCTTAGTCTTTAAATATGAATCTAATTTATCACCATCAATTTCAGTTACATGCTAATTTCACTCAAATACAGCAGTTTTGCTCCCTCATAGTTCTCTTCCCTCCCTCCTTCTTTGTTATTATTGTTGCATATTATATCTGTATGTTCTGTACCCAACAATACTGTGTTGTAATTACTGATTTTATGTTATCTGTTAAAGTTTAAGAGAAAATATACACTCATTAAGCACTGGTTGGCAAACTACTGACATATGAGCCAAATCTGGTCTGCTGCCTGTTTTTATAATAAAATTTTATTGAAAAAAATACCAATTCATTTATGTATTATCTAGGGATACTTTCATGTTAGAAGATAGAGTAGTTGTGGCACATAAAATTAATGTTGCTATTGACATGAACTTAGACTAAGGAGATTATCCTGAATTATTTGAGTGAGCCCAGTGGAATTTATGCAATTGTCTTTTAAATCTTTTTTTTGAGAAGGATCTCACTGTGTAGCCCAGGCTGGCCTAGAACTCAAGATTCTCCTGTTTCCGTCTTCTAAATTCTGGAATTACAGATATGCACTACCATGTCCAACTTTTACATCAGTTAAAGAAGACATACTAATACTGATTTTTATAATCACCTACAGTTTCTTTTACTGATGCTTTTTATTCATGTGCATTTGAATTTCATCTAATATAATTTCTTTTCAATGTAAAGTACTTCCTTCAGTGTTTCTGGTAAAGCAGCTCTGCTAGTAATAAATTCTGCCTATGTTCATCTGTCTTTATCTTCATTTTTGAAGGATATTTGCAAAGAATACAGAATTCCTGCTTTGTGGTACTTTAATAAGCACTACCTTGTGGCCTCCATTGTTTCTGATGAGAAGTCAGCAGTCAGTTAAACTGTGATTTTCTCGTTTATAAATCTGTTTTCTTGCTATTTTCAAGATTTTCTCTTTTTTATCAGTTTGAGGTGACTCTGTGTTTACTGAAATTAGAGATTGTTGAATTCAAGGATTATAGAAGAATGTTTTCCATTAAATTAGTCAAATATTTGGGCTTCATTCTTTAATTTTTCTCTTTCTCTCACTCGTGTGGGACTTCCACTATACATTTAATGTGTCCTAATGGTTTTTTAAAAAAATTTTTAAATAATTATACAAAATAATGGGTTTCATTTTGACATTTTCATACTTGCACACTACTTTGATTATATCCACCTCCTCATTCTCCTTCCCCTCCTCCCTTTTACTCCCAATTGTTCCCTTTTTGCTTTCATGATTTAAAAAAAAATCTAAATTCTTTGAGAGAAAATGCATTTTTTGTCTTTCTGAATTGTCTTACTTCACTTAACATAATATCCAGTTCTATTCATTTTCTTGCAAATGACATAATTTCTCTATTTTCATGGCTGAATACTACTATGTTGTGCATCTCTACCACATTTTTAAAATCTATTCATCTGTTGCTGGGTACCTCAGCTGATTCCATGACCTGGCAATTAGGAGTAGTGCCACAATAAACATACCCATGTTTATGCAGATTTACTATGCAGGTTGTCTGCATAGTAAGCTGACTTTGATTTCTTTGAGGGGGATGTACCCAAGAGTATAGAAGAATCATATGGTAGCTCACTTTTATTTTTTTTGAGGAACCTCCATACTGATTTCCATAGTGGTTGTACAGTGTATAAGGGTTTTAATTTCCCTGCATCTTTGCCAGTGTCCCAATGGTTTGTTCATTTCTTTTTTCTCCCTCTTCTTTAGATTAGATTATCTCTTTTGTGCTATCTTCATGTTTGTTGATTTTTGTTTTTTAATTAGCTCAGATCTGCTCTTGAGCCCCTTTAATGAGTTTTTCATTTCAGGTACTCTATTCTTAAATTCCAGGATTTCCACTTAATTTTAAAAACAATTTCTTTCTCTTTCAATGATAGCCTTATTTTATGAGTCATTGTTGTTATCCTTTAAGTGTATTTGCTTTATTTAGGTTTTCTGAAGTCTTTTTTTGTTAAGTCTAATATTTGTCCTCTCCTTCTACCAAAAGTCTATGTCTCAAGTGCTCTTTTCAAGGGTATATGTCACTATTTTTTCTTCTTTGTTATTTTGCTGTTGTTTAAAACTGGACATTTTAGATAATAAGATTATTTATCTTCACATGGGGTGGCCATGTCTTTTTAGTGACCTGTCTGTACAAATTGTGCAGTGTCTGTTTCCCTTGCTGTTTGGTCTCTTATCTATCTATTAACTATTTTCCATTATTACTATTTTTTTTCACTTTAAAGACTGGTTTCTTAGGCTTTTCCACTTGGTTAGCATAAATGCTCAACCAATTTAAACACCTTGTTATGGCCTTAACTGTACTCCTGTGTCTTAGAATGTGACGATGCTTGGAAATAAGGTCTTTAAAGATATGACGTTGTTCAGTTGAGACCTCACTCAAGATGACTAAGATAAGAGATTTACACATAGACACACATAGAGGGAATAACATGTAAAGACTCAGGGAGAAGACAGTTATCTGAAACCTAGGGAAAGAGACTTTTAAGAGAAACTAATCTTGCCAAACTTTGATCTTGAACTTCTAGCCCTTAAAGCTGTGAGAATATAAATTTCTCATGTTTAAGTCATAAAGTGTATGGTATTTTATTATGGAAGCACTAGCAAAGTATTATGTATGACTTCTATTCTTTCCCAGAGATCAGTGTAACTTGAGGAATATTTTCAAAGGTTAGCCCATTTTTAAGTCTAGCCCAACTTTTATTTTTTGAAAGGCTTCTTTTTTCACCTAGGGTTAAGCAGTGTTTTAGGACTGTCACTAATTTCCTTCATGTATGAATAGCTTTGCAAATGCATACATTCTACCAGAGCAAAAGGGATAAATAGAATATTATCAAGGCCCATTGTAGCTGTCCTATTATCTGAATCTCTCTGTTAGGTTTCTGGTTCTTTATCAGTCAATTTCTTGCCCCAACAGTATGGTGATCTCAGTGGGGCTAAGGGTGTCATTGGTCTTATCTATTTGTTTGCCATTGAATTCTCTATCATTTTAATAATACCCTGATGATGAAACATTCTGTATTCTGTTTCAAATAAAAGTAGCTCTCAGGTAGCCAGGTGCTGGTCCTCATAGTATGATTCACCAAGGTAAAACTTATGCAAAACTGGTCTTAGGAGGTTGGAGGATGAGAGACAGCACCAAACTAACAAGGCACAGACATATATTTTCATTTAAAAAATCAGTATATTTTTCATAAATACTCCTCACTCTGTTATATGCATTGTTGACTTCCAGAATCTTTTATTGACAACTTTGTTCAGCTTTAATAGTGCTTTTCAGGGATATATGTCATGTCCTCAGTTAGCTATTCTGGAAGTCCTAGTCATTTCTTATTTTTCAAAATCAGCAAAAAAGAAAACTGCATTGTGTTTTCTTTTCTTTATAGGTTTGGCTGTGTCGACATCACAAGGACTACATTAAGGGACCATCACTGATTTTTTTTTTTTACTTTTTACTTTACAGTGTCATTATTATTTTGCAAATTTGTTTTCTACTTATAAAATAAAGTAAAAGCAGTAAAGGAAATACCACATATTCTATTTTTATTAGTTCTGAACATAATGTATAGTGTATTTCATCTGTTCATAGAGTGTGCTTACCAGAAATTAACATCTCTTGATTTGAGAAAGGAAACACTTACCAAAGATGAACAAATGCAGATTGAGTATGTAAGTGCAATAGCAAATTCCAAGGGGTAGGAGACCAATAAGATACGTGAAACTTCCCTCCCCAGTTTCTGTAACCAGGAAATAGAGAGATATCTTGCATTATTTTTAGCAAGTGAAATATATTTATGTAAGGAGATTCTAGTACAAAAGTCAAGGAAAAGAAGGAAAATAAGAATAGATAGCCCTCTTTCACTATATGATTTCTCCAGGCATTTTTATTTCTGCTTCACTTCATGCTTTCATTCTTCTCAATTCATTGTCTGTGGCTTCCATCCCTGATTTTCACTTAGCAGTCACAAGTCAAGAATTCAAATGGATTATTAATATTCACTAAAATATAACAGAATTAGTTTTTAACCAAAACTTTTAATCATGAGCTTACCACTAAATCAAATAATTTTCTGAGGAACAATAAAAAATTCACTTTACCTTCTAAAGTCTTCAAAATGCCTGAAAAGAATGATTTTGAAATTAAGATGCTTCTACAGGATTGGTCACTTACTGCTTGTCCATAATTCCTATATGACACTGATTTAAAAGTACACAACTCAACCACCGTCAGAATTGCTGCAGCAATTGCAAGAATCATGCAGAGGATGTTCATAGCTAAAGTGCATATAAACTGGAAAAGGAGAGAGTTCACACTCAGAATAAACTTTGTTTTACTGAAATAAGTCATCTACTTAAAACTCCAACCTACTTTGTGAGGCTTTTCCAAGTGCCTGTATGCTTGCCATTCATGTAAAATACTTTTCTGGTTTGCATGAAACCCAGTTAATGTAGATGAAACATTAAAATATCATCAACATACTAAACATTAAACTTTGAATTCCACTGGGGCTTAAAAATATTGTTATTTTACAATCTTATGGGTCAGCTATAAGACAGCTTAAAGGGTTCCAATGAAAGATTACAAAAGAAAAAATAATGGAAAATGATGACTGCTTATAGAAAGAAATAAAAATGGAGTTAATAAGTTTTAATATTTGGTTTTCATTATCTGAAATTAGTCAATATCTTTGCACTGACATGAGGTTTTCAATCTATAAAATTATAAATTGGACTAATTTCTAAGATCTTTCAGCTATAAAATTCTAAGATTTTTTTTTCTTCCGAATATTTCCACCTATATCATAGATAGATAGATTTTTTTTGGACAAATCCTCTACTTTGTTAAAAGATACAATCTTGTTCCCAAGCTGGATAGTTCAGAAAATGAAGTTGAACAGCACCATAATCTTTATATGTAAAGGCATTAGATTCAATTAACATTGTTTTTTATCATAGCATTCCTATAATATTAAAGGTAAGAATATCAAAGTGAAACAAAAAAACTATATTTAAATTTAGAAGCATTTACTAAGGCAATCATGATTTTAATTAACTACATTAGCTTATATGATCCTAAAATTTCACCTAAATCTTTCATTTATTTTACAGAGAACGTAAATCCCTTCATTGTGTAGACACAATAATTTCATTAAAACCTACTTGTTTACATTTGTGACAAATGATTTGTGGAGATAGCCCAAACATTTCAACTTACCACAGTTCGAGATGGATGCCGTACCGATCTTATTGTCAAGGCTCCTGCAAGGATAAACTGGATATAAAAACATATATGTATAAATATATATTTATAAATACTTATTGATAATGCTTACAAACCTAAAATGTAACTCTCAAAAAACTCCATCTTCTAAGTCAGTGTTTTTATAATTCTAACAGAACCAAAATAAAGCAGCTATAGGAGTCAGGCAAGTTCCCATCATGAAGTAATTATTTATAAAAGATAACAGTTAGTGAAAATAACAGCGGGGTCACTCACAACAGAAATATATAAGGGACAGTGGGCAGGATTCAGGTTATGGTATATGCCAAAGACAGTTTAAGCAGTTCTGACCACATTTGGTTACAAGTCCAATACCTCAGGTATAGCTCATTCAGTTATTACTTCTAATGAAATTATTTGTAATGATGATGCCATCCATTAAAAAGTGTTCCATATTGTGATTATACAAAATATGCCTCTGAACTGAGAAACTACAGTCATAATTAAGGTAGTGGCTGGTATTCATGTTTCACCTTTGTTTTTCAAAAAAAAGAAGTTCCATTATTTTACATCAGGAAGTGTAAAGCACTGCATATTGTTTGGAAGTGAGCTGTACAATTCCCTTGAAATATTCTGTCTTATATGTTTTAGTGGCTTTGGCAAAGGCTGACTTATGGAAAAACAGCGTTCATGCTATGCATTTTATTTAGGAAAGGTAAACTTTGAAGCATACAAACTCTACAATGATAACTTAAAACCTACATATTCTGCACTTAATTTTGTAACAAAAGCTGAGATTTCTAAGAGAGTAGACAATGAAGGCAGAATTAGCTCAGGCTGTAAAGTGAAAATATATTGTGAATTTTGAACTAGAGAGCTAACTACATTACCAAGTCATTTGCTTTATAAAATACCTTTCAAAGTTTATAACCTAAATGACAAGTTTTTCACCAGATTACGTTTGAAAATTTTAGAAATTTATTTTAGGACCTAAATATGCTATTTTATAACATACATAATTAAACACAAAGGGACAAACAACTAATTTAAATTTTTTCTTAAAATTCACTATTTTTCAAAGGTAAAACTTTAATGTTTATGAATTGGTGCATCACTTATCAATCATGATTTGTTTATCTAAATTTTGTCTGAAAACTAAATATTTTCTCTAAGGCAATCATTTGACACTTCTGAGCTAGTGTGTGGATAAAGGCAAGCGATCACTTGCTCTGTTAAGTGCTTTTCTTCAGCCCTTAGACCATCTCTGTCCCAAGTGTGGGCAAAGTGGTTTCTTTGCTCCTTTGGCTATTTGCAGCCATTATTTTCTCTCTAGGTTTGACTCAAAAGTTATCAGATTTTATCACTCACCATCAACCTGTAGTTGAAGTCATCTATTAATTCCTTTCTAATTCATCTCTTTTTGGAGGATTTTAATTCTTGCCTCTCAGATTCTCTTTCCCACACCATCTAATCCTTGCTGAGGTTCTCTGAATTTCTCTTCTCCAATGCTTTTCTTAGTCACTCACTCCTATACCCATTTATATAACTTTAAAATCTCAACTTCTTGTATTCAACCACCACCTGCTATCTTTCTAGTTAATGCCCTTTAGTCTTGAAACTGTAACAATCCTTTTACTACTTATATCTGTTCTGACATCCTCAATTCCCTGTTAAATTCTTCTCTCCACTAGTTGAAATTCCATTGTCAGCCATTGTAAACACTCCCTTGTATCCATTCTCAACTCCTTCTCACCTTTCTTGTTTTATCAGAGTTGCATGGTTTAACCCAAATCCTAATTAATGCAATTTTCCTCCTACTGCATGCCTGCAACTATGTAGCTGAACATGGCCCAAAAAAGAGACACAGCCCATCTCACAAATAATCATGTTCCTAAAGCTTTGGTTAGCTCTTTTTAAAAACGTTATCATTTTTACATTTACTTACATGTGTATAAATTATTTTGGCCACCTCCACTCCCCCACCACCACCTCCTGCTTCTGGGCAGAACCTGTTCTGCCCTCTTGTTCTCTGATTTTGTCAAAGACAAAACATGAGAGATAATAAGAAAAACATGGCGGTTTTGCTAGTTTCAGATAAAAGATAGCTACACAGAGAGATTCCTAGTGTTGCTTCCATGCACATGTGCATTACAACCCGTATTGGGTAATCTGTACCAGACCTCTTCACTACTTCCTGGTCCCCTTCCCATAGTGGCCTCTGCCAGTTTAAGATTACTATAGTCACTCCTCTACAGTGAGCACATCAACCACATTTAAAATTTAAGTTTCTTTCCCTTTCCCTATTCCTCCTGTGCACGTTCTCCCCTTAGTGTGTTACCCAGGTTCAATAATAATACTGCATTTGTTTTAGGTCTATAATCTGCATATGAGGGAGAACATATGAATTTTGGCCTTCTGAGCCTGGCTAACTTTGCTGAAGATGATGTTCTCCAGTCCTATCCATTTACTTGTGAATGGCAAAATTTCATTCTTCTTTGTGGCTGAATAAAATTCCATTGTGTATAAATACCACATTTTCTTAATCTACTTGTCATTAATGGGGCATCTTGGCTATTTCCATAGCTTGGCTATTGTGAACAATGCTGCAATAAACATGGATATGCAGGTGCCTTTGTAATAACCTGAGTCGCATTCCTTTGGGTATAATCCTAGGAATGGTATTGCTGGATCATATAGAAGATCTATGTTTAGTTTCTTAAGAAGCCTCCATATTATTTTCCATAGTGGTTGTACTAGTTTATATTCCCACTGGCAGTGTATGAGGGTTCCATTTTCCCTGCATTCTCGCCAACATTTGTTGTTGGTGTTCTTGATGGTAGTAGCTTTTCTAACAGGAGTGAGGTGGAATCTTAGTGTGGTTTTGATTTGCATTTCCTTTAGGGACAGGGATGTTTAGCATTTTTTCAAGTGCTTTTTGGCCATTTAGATTTATTCCTTTGAAAAGTTCTGACTGTTTCAGTTGCCCATTTCTTTATCGGGTCATTAATTTTTGGGGGAGTTGTTTTTTTGAGCTCCCTGTTTATTCCGGTTATTGGTCCCTTGTCTGATGTATAGTTAGCAAAGATTTTCTCCCACTCTGTGGGTGGCCTCTTCAATTTAGATACCATTTCTTTTGTTGTGCAGAAGCTATTTAATTTCATGTAGTCCCATTGTTGATCCTTTCTCTTAGTTGCTGAGCTGCTGGGGTTCTACTGCGTAAGTCCTTGCCTATACCTATTGCTTCCAGAGTATTCGCTGCTCTTTCCTGTACTAGCTTCAAGGTTTCAGGTATGATATTAAGGTCCTCAATCCACTTTCAGTTGATACTTGTATAGGGTAATATGCATGGGTTCAGTTTCAGTTTTCTGCAGGCAGATAATCACTTTTCCCAGCAACGTTTATTGAAGAGACTGTCTTTTCTCCATTGTATGTTTTTAGCACCTTTGTCAAAAATAAGGTGGGCGTAGCTACGTGGATTCACATCTGGGTCCTCTTTTCTGTTCCACTGGTCTTCATATCTGTTTTTGTGCCAATACCATGCTGTTTTTATTGCTATGGCTCTAAAGCATAGTTTGAAGTCAGGTACTGTGATACCTTCAGGATTGCTCTTTTTGCTCAGTATTGCCTTGGTTATTCATGGTCTTTTGTGCTTCCAAATTAACTTTAGGGTAGATTTTTTTAAATCTCTGATGAATGTCGTTGGGATTTTTATGGAATTGTGTCAAACATATAGATCACTTTTGGTAGTATAGCCATTTTTACTATGTTGATTCTGCCAATCCATGAGCATGGGAGATCTTTACATCTTCTGTAGTCATCTTCAATCTCTTTCCTCAATGGTTTGTATTTCTAGTGAGTTTGTATGAAAAGTCAAACTTCTTTTCTGTAATCCATGCACTATCTCACTTTCCCTAAGTGATGGTCTCATATTATCTTCTTTCTTCTCCACTTGACTTCCAGGATGCCATCTCTATAGGTTTTCTCTGTGCTTAATGGCTGTCTAGAAACTACATAAGAGTGCTCATAATGACAAATTTAGGAAATAATTATAGACTAATTGTGCAAGAAAGACTAAGGTGAAGACTATAAATATGAAAATCATTCATAGAAATGGATATTATGGCTTATATTGTCTTTGACATATATCTAAGGACAGTTTATTTTATGGTTGTTATTGTGTACTTACTCCTTTATCCACATTTCTTGGAATAACTATTTTAAGCTAAAGATGCTCATACATATTTGTTGAAAAGAGAATTTGAATAAACTACCACAATTCTCCTGAAAACCTTGTTTGGAAACTGTCTTTGCCTTCCACTGCTGGCATGAATATTAAATACTGAATGATTAAAACAATATATATAATCTACTCACAAAAATTCCCCATAAAGCACTTCCTGTTTTATAAGTTATAGGTTCATATGTTCCAAAGACTCCTTTAATTTGTCCCATATATAAAATCAATATGAAATACCACAAGAAAACATGAAAGGTGCCAATCATAATCTGGATAGCCTGTGGGAAGAGAAAGCTATTAGTACTGAAACAATGTAATTTAAAACACAACTCTAATAAATATTAACTGTAACAACCACTTAACATTGTTATGATAAAAAGTAAAATAATGCAGTTAATACCATGCATCTCCTGAATTTGTTAGCCCAGAAACAAAGCCTTAACCAATAATGACTAATGTTTTCCAAATAAGAATCAGCCACAGTAGGAGTAAGAGATTGTTCAATAATAGTTGCCAGATCAGTCTTCCTACAGCAGTTTGATTATACCATTGGCTACCCTCCCTACCTATCAAATAATGGTGTGAGGGGGAAAAACTGAGTATTCTTGAGAAAAAAATGTTGCTTCTAATCTCCTTGGATGCAGGAAGGAATATAGTCAACATTTTTCTTGTACCTTAGTAATTTACTAAGAATGAATCACTTTTTAAATCTTATAAATGTTTATCTTTCCCTTCCAGGAATATTTGGTATACAGATTTTTTACACAAGGATGTGAGAGTGAAGAACACTGCAGCATAAAGGATATCCAAGCTGGAGTGGCTTGCACTAGGTTTTCCCACTGAACAAGGCAAAAGTTACAGTAAGGGATGACTATTATTCAACCTTAATTCATATGAATGTAATTATTATTCCAGTAAATACATCTTAGCAAACTTATTTCTGAATTTATATGTGAAATGATACTTCATACACTGAATCATGTTTTAAATAACTCTTTATTTTTTTATTTTTTTAAATTTTTAAATTTTTAAATTTTTTATTTATTTTTTCATTTTTCTTTTATTATTCATATGTGCATACAAGGCTTGGTTCATTTCTCCCCCCTGCCCCCAACCCCTCCCTTACCACCCACTCCGCCCCCTCCCTCTCCCCCCCCCTCAATACCCAGCAGAAACTATTTTGCCCTTATTTCTAATTTTGTTGTAGAGAGAGTATAAACAATAATAGGAAGGAACAAGGGTTTTTGCTGGTTGATAACTCTTTAAAAATGAAACAGCAGGAGATGGTGGAATGGCTCAAATGGTAGAGTGCCTGCCCAGCAAGCATGAGACCCAGAGTTCAAACCCAGTACCATGAAAAAAAAAAAAAAACAGCATACATTATTTTCATTTTGATATAAACTTTAATAGGAAGCTAATGTTTTAAGAGTTTTAGCTCTTTGTAAAGCAAGTAGTCTATGGATCACATTACTGTAATTGGCTAAATTTAGATACACTTTTTAGAAATTTTTTTAAAAAGAGAAACTATTTTGTTGGTCAAAATCTTATGTATTTTTCTAGATTTAGTATTTAAGTTTCCCACTACATTAAATTTCCAAGGATGGTGCTATTTGGGGAGGTTCTTTTTATTTGATTGGGAGAACATTCCCTATTAGACTGCAAAACCCTTGAGAGGACCTGGACTTGGGTTTTCTCATTGCTGCTATCATCAGTAATATGGTGCCCAGCATAGAGCACACACCCAGTGAGTAACTCCTCTATAAGAATACTGGCATCAAGAATATTGATTCTATATGACTTTCCCAATAGTTAAAAGGAGTAGAATTGAAAAACAATGCCATTGTATATAACTGGATGTTGTTATACACAAAACTACCAAATATACAAGTAGCCAAAGCTTGTAAATAACCCTGCCAGTATGTGAAGGACAAGGTGAATTTTCTTATTAAAACTGTTTCTTAATCCAGAGCCAGGCAATGGGTTCCAGGAGATGAAACTCCCTTGCATTCCACAAGAGAAAGCGCCATGTGTACAGAATTCTGAAAAGAAGATTCTCCCCAGAGCTTTCATTCTATGCCCCCAGTGGTTTGTGACCACAATGTTAAGAACCCCGCTGAGCAGTCAGAAAGAAACCTAGTATCCAAATTCAGAGGAGAAGTTGAAGTCAGTGGAAAAGTTTTTCCCCCTTTAGCTGTGAAAGTACATTAACGATGAACATCATAACTCTTTGATGCTTATGAAACCAGCTGGATAAATGGTAACCTCACGGATTTATAACTTAATGGAAGTTTATAACCATCCTACTGCATAGGCATCAGCACAGTAAGCAAAAGTGATCAATGATAGGTCTCTCTCTCTCTCTCTATCACTCACACACACACACACGCATATGTACACACTTACTTTAAAATTTTATTTCTAATTTGTATTTCTCCATTACCCTGTATGTGCTGATTTAATCAGTACATGTGTATCTAAGCATATATTCATTTGTGAAGACATGAGATCAGTCAAATTTGTAGAAGACAGCATGCTAAATTCTTTTTTGCTTTTTGCTGCAAACAAATCTGCCCCTTTTTAGATCCAAAAATACCTTTTAAAAACTGAAAGAGTTTATGATCTTGAATTTAGTCAAAGTGGAATCTTACTTACCCCTAAAGCAAGAACATCTCCTGTAGAGATTTTTGAACTTCCACATCCCATACTACCAGCATTTCCTCCAGTTGATTTTGTTTCTAACCTTTGGTGATATCTTTATTAGCAAACTTCTGCAAAACAATACAGAACACGTAAGTGTGATTTTCTTGGAGAAAATATATAAATTTGATTATATTTTATTAACAAATTCCCCAAACTCAGAAGCAACAGTTTTCTCTATTTTAAGCTTTAATTCTTAAGAGGCATTAACTTGCCACTACCTGTTCTGAGGAACAGCCTCCATAACTAAATGGTCCTTTGTATGACTAAAAAATATGGCATATTAAAGATATTACCTTGGAGTAGTTAACAGTGTCTGTTCTGCAGATGATAACTTATAAAGGACACCTTGAGAAGAATTGTGTCAAATTTTCAGTAACGCTTTCAACAATTCATTTGCAATTCATAATCAATTTAACTCAACTCATAGTGCCTTGCTTGCATTTTCAAAATAAAATTTTTGTATTAAACTTTCCAAAAATATGGGCTTGTGGGTTTTTCTCTTGATACATACCTACTACCTCATTCTTCTATATGAAAAGAGCATTAGACAACTTGTCAAAGTTGCTTCTGCAATCTTAAAAGGTGCCTTCTATTTTTTCCTTCAGTATTCCCATATTTCTTCCTAGATCATCTTCATATTTATATTAAGATAAAACCCTGACTGATAATTATATTCCCTGCGAGACTGTATCCCTTTGTAGACCTGAAATTCTGTATGTGCTAGTATGTCATGCATATGTTAATAACGAGTCATGTGTAACGAGTCATGTTTCCTGACTAATGATTTTAAATTTTTAGCTTTTTAAAAAAATTTCTTTTATTCATATGTGCACACAATGTTTGGGTCATTTCTCCCCCCTTCCTCCCACTCCCTCCCTTCCTCTTGCCCCCTTCTTCTCCTCCCCATTACCCCCTGGCTTCCAGGCAGAAACTGTTTTGCCCTTATCTCAATTTTTAGTTTTGATCTTTACGGAAAGGAAGGAATTTTGACAAAATTACATTGCACACTTAAAATCCAATAGCTTGATTATTTTAATGACTCTTTGGTTTCTAAAATTTATTTTCTCAAAGTCTGTTAATGCTACAAGAGCTAATGACGATAACAAAACAGAGATAACAGTATTTAGTAGCTAGAGTAAGCCTTATTCACTCAAAGGCCATCTTTGAGTGGTAACCAAGAAGGCATGTAGACTCATAGGTAACCAAGTTTAATCTGTCATGACTGAATAAAAATCCACAGAATTATAGAATTCATGTAGGGTAACAATGAAAAGCCATAATTATGTTCCTATTATTTGTTACTTTCCAGAAATAGAACAATAAAAATAAGTCATTTTGTGTGTATGGATAAATTCTTTTCACCTCCATAGCTTAACAGTAGAAGCAACATGAAGTGATTTAGGAAGTAAAAATTATAGTGATTTAGGAAGTAAAAATTATAGTGATTTAGCATCACTATAATTTCTGTCAGGCCCACCTGATAGTCACTAAAGTCACTCCAAGTGAAGTAGTTCTAAAAATACTAATAAAAAACCACCAGTGTGTGCATAGTTTAAAATACTCAACTGTTGGAAGAAAGAAATACTAGAATATGTTCATTGAGTAACTGGTTGGAATTCTTTCTAAAAACATTATTTTTCTTTTTTTTACTGAGAGGATTTTGCTATGTAGTCCAGGCTGACCTTGAACTCTCCATCTTGCCTCAGTCTCCTGTGTGCTGGGATTATAGATGTTCCCACCACAGCTGGCTCAATAACATAGTCTACATTTGCCACTCTGCAACCCAATTAACCATTTGTAAAAATAAATAACCATTTGTTTCTATTTTCTGGTGATCTTACCACAAATTCCTTAGTCCTTAATCCTAACACTGTTGTCACTCCCTAAGCTTTACATACAAATCCTGGAACAGTTACAGAAAACTCATGCCTATCATTCATCTTTAGCATCTTGAAGCAGAGATTGCCAACTCCTGATTGTCTCCAGATAAACAGAAAATACTTAAATGACACACAAAAAAAAAGTAACTCCAAATTCTTCAGCAAGGCACGTAACCCCCTTAAGAACTGTTTCCTGGTCCACCTCCACCTCATCCTGGCCAGTGCTAGGTTTCATCCTGCTAGCTCCAGCAGTAACCCTGGAAAGCTTGCTCTGGTACACACTGGCTCTAAGGTCACAGTGAGCTCACAGAGTTCATTTCCCTAAGTTCAAGGCAGGGCCGGTTATGCTGCACTGGCCACCCAATGAGTGTTGCTATGACTACTGCATTAGGGGTTTCTTTGGTGGGGCCTGAGAAGGAGAAATATTTCACTTCTCAAGTCACCTCTTGGTGCTTCCACTGTTATACTTTCATCCACGTGCATCGACGCCACATTTGATGACAGCAAGAGGGGTGAGCTGGGCACCGTGGTGCCACTGTAGGTCCAACTACTGGCTAGTCTGAGACAGAAGGATGGCCACAGCCCTGCAGCAACACTGAATGCCCTCTGGTCTCAAAAGAACAAAACAGGACAAACCCAAAACAACAAACGGGTGGTAAGAACCACTCCCTGGAGGAAGGGAATGGGGTCAGGGGACAGTGACCAGTCTTCATGATCCTTTGTGGATTGTGACGCCGAAGAAAACCAAACTGACACTATTACCTCGCATTTTACTTCAAAGTCCCACAGATCGAGTTTTGCCCTCTCAGGTCTAGGCTCAGATTGGGGCTCCCCGGGTGGCCTGTGGTTACCCTGGCGCGGGGTGTTCGTGCAGCACCCAATCCAGTCTGAAGAGGCTGCCGCCTTTACTGCCAGGTCTGCAGACCCTGGTGCGTAGCCATCACAGAGGAGACCCCAAACCCAGCCCGTGCTGGCCCTCAGGCTCCTCAGGCAGCAGGTCTCCAACGGCAGCAGCGCGGGCCTAGTGCGCCTGCGCGCTGGCCTGGGGGGGAGGGGGAGGGAGGGAGGACGGGGCAGGCATGCGCATGCGCAGACTCACCAGTCCCACAGGCAACGTGGTCAGTGGCGCAACTTGCCAACTCCCATTTGGAGTCAGAAGAAATGGCCTTGCTAAACCTGCATTTGTAAGACTGAACGCTTTAGGTGTGCTTCTTATACACATGCCTGCTGCAAAAAGACTAGGGCCTTCACCTGTTCTGTCTTCAAGGAAAATTTTTGACCACAAATACATTCGAGAAGGTTCAAAGGATTGAAAAGGCAAGTATCTGAGTTAATTGGTACCCTCCACCCTATAAGTAATAAAGAAATGAGTATTTTAGCAAATAACCAGAATGACTTTTTTTTTGGGTTGTACTTGGAGTTTTGAACTCAGGGCCTTATGCTTGCCAGGTTAGCACTTTAACACTTGAGCCACACCCCAGCCTCAGAATGACTTTTTGACCCACCTGAGATTTCCTTTAACCTTTCAGGTCATCTACATGGTATTAGTTTTTTATTTTATGTAGAAAGTAGTTCAAACAGAATGACAATATGGGTAAAGCAGATGTAGCAGTTACTATTTTGGCTAGAAGGAGTCAGAATTACCCAAGTGTGGCTTTAATGTCTCAGGGAGGTTTTTGGGGTCATGGAGCTTAGGTTTTCTGCTTCTGTACCCTAGTCACCATCTTGGATCTGTTTGGCCGGTGGGCAGCCACCTCATGGTGATCAGGGACTCTCTGCTCACTTTCCACTCCATCCCCTCCTTCCCTTCATGATTACCATGGCAACTCCTGCTGGCCGGCAATGGGTCTGACCCATATTACCCCGAGCTCCTCCCCACCAAACCTCGACCTATCTCTATGCCCCATAATACCTTAAGCTCTTGACTTCACCCAGGATATAAAAACTGGGCTGCCATTTCTCCCGCGCGACTTCTCCGGCCCTGCTCTTTGGGACGGTGAACCTCGCCAGAGAGCGCGCTCTCAATAAAGCCTGCTTAAAGCCTGCTTGCTTTATTATTTGGCTCCAATTTGGCCTTCCCATTAGCGTCGACCTAACAGGATCCTCTCTGCATCTATATTGCTTAAAGACATGGCCTATTTCTCTTTCGTTTTGTTGTGTCCTTGTGTTTTGGGATAGATGTAATACTGGTTTCATAGAATGAGTGTGGTAGTGTTGCTTCTCTTTCTATTTCATGGAACACTTTGAGGAGTGTTGGAATTTTGGTCTTCTTTGAAGGTCTGTTAGTGTTCAGCAATAAATCCATCAGCCCCTGAGGTTTTCCTTTTTGGGAGACTCTTTATTGCTGTTTCATTTTCATTGCTTGTTATAGATATATTCAGGTGGTTTATATTTTCTTGGTTCAATTTTGGTTGGTCATATGCATCTAGAAATTTTTAGTTTTCTTCCAGATTTTCCAATTTATTTCTGTACAGGTTTTCAAAGTGTTCCCTCATGATCCACTGGATTTCATTGATATTTGTTGTGATAGCCTCCTTTTAATTTATAAAATTAATTAATTAATTATAATAATATAATTAATAATTATAATATAATTTATTTATTAAATTATTAATTCATTTTTCCCTCCTCCTTTTAGTCAGATTCACTAAGGGTTTATCTTTTCAAAGATCCAAATTTTGTTTTATGGATTCTTTGTATAGATTTTTTTGGGGGGTGTTCTATTTCATTGATTTCAGCCCTTATTTTTATGATCTCTCTCTTGCTGGTTTTGAGTTTTGCTTGTTCTTATTTTTCCAGAATTTTGAGATGCATCATTAGGTTATTTATTTGACATCTTTCTGTGTTTTTAACATAGGCACTCACAAACTTTCCCCTTAGCACTTTCTTTACTGTATTCCATAGGTTCTGGTAGGTTGTGTTTTCGTTTTCATTAGATGCCAGGAACTTTTTGATTTCCTCCCTTATTTCTTTGATGACCCTCATCATGTAGCAACATATTCAATTTGAATATTTTCAGTTGTTTCTGTTGTTGAGTTCTAGTTTTATTCCATTGTGGTCAGACAATGTGCAGGGGGTCATTTCACTTTTTTATATTTGTTAAGACTTGACTTGTGTCAAAAA